CAACACTGAGCGCAGCACTCCAATGCTTGCCATGGACTCAGGGAAGAAAGATTACTAACCTGCTGGGATTTGAATCTGGTCTAGTTGCAGACCAAGACTTAGTTAGGGACCTGCCTGACAGAGAGCCTGAGAAGGAGCCGATGGCTCCTGAAATGGGACCCAGGGAGTCTCATTTCTAAGACAACGGAAAAGAAATTTGCTTGTTTATGAAAGGGACTTCTGGGTCACTTTTGGATTCAAAGCTAAGAACTCTAGCTCCACATCACTGTTAAAAAAAAAAAAAGAAAAAAGCAAGCTGTCTGAAGAAAAGAACTAAAATAAACAGAGAGGTGGGAAGGTCTTTGCCATGTTGGCAAACTCACTATTGAGGCCATGATTTAGAGCAGGGCACTGGATCGTAGCTGGGGGTCTAGATCCAACAGGGTACGATCAAAAGGTAGGTAATCAACATTTTGACCTCGGGCACGTCGCTTGACCTCTCAACGTGACGATCTCCTGCACGCCGGTAATACCATCGGGCACTTGGTCTACCCATGTTGCCATTTCAGAGCAAACCCAAGCAGGTGTGATCGTGTCTGTCTGCCTGCCTGTGCAACTTGAACGAAAGTCCAGAAAAGAGCTGCAAAGGTGAGTTTAAATTTCTAAACCACCCCTTCAGAAATTATAAGGGATTTGAATGATTCAAACCTGAAGAGGAGAGATCTAGTAACTGTCTTCAAATATATGAAGGGCTTTTAGCCAAGGGCCAGTGAGAGCGTGGGGTCCACATGTGCTCAATCTGCACCGAGCACAGAGAGCACACCCAGGCTCCCACAAAGAGAAGTTTCTGGCATTAAGGGCCACAGGATACAAACAAGATAGAGAATGTCCTTCTAGGAAAGAGTTCATTGGAGGAAGGGTGGGGAAGAAAGAGAAAGACAGAAAATGGGGCAAAACTATGGCAAGGTGTGAGCTCTGCAGAAAGCAATCTCATAGCCCTGGCCAGATACAGATATTATTCTATAAATTGCCACTCTGTCACCTTGCTCTGTTCTTCTACCTTTTTAATATGCCCCAGAGTCAGAAACCTGCCCTCAAACTCCTTCCCTGAATACCCTGCCTGCCCTTCCTCCACGTGCAGCAGGTCAGAGCTTTGCCCACCTCCCTGCCCTCAGGTCTCCAGGCCCTTAGGATATTTACTGAGCATCACCTATATTCAAGGGCACTGTTCTTATAGCAATCTGACCACAGTCCCTACCAGAGATGCGATTATCCCCCTTCACCGGTGAGAAAATCTGAAGCTCTGAACTAGCAAGCGTTAGAACCAGGATTTAAAGCCAGGGCTGAGGGACTCCTGGGACTGTGCTCTTCCTGCCCTAACTGCTGGGGGGGGGGGGGGGGCAGGGAGGAGACTGAATGGTGTGGTGTGTCTGCAGCATGTGGCTGCAGAAAGAAGGGGACAGTGTGGATCCTGCTCCCTGCTCTTTATCTTCTGCTTCTGTAACCTGATTTAACTGCGTTGTGATCTGCGTTGCAAAAAATCCTTCAAATTACTTTTGTATCTTCTGCGTTTTGTTGGAGACACAGGTTGGCAGTCCAAACATTATCAGTGAGACCCACTTCTAGTTCTCTCTGTTGTTGTTCAGACTCTGAAAAACTCCCCTGGGTGAACACTAGATCTGGATGGAAGGCAGGAAAAGAACAGCCTTAGAAATCCCTGGGTCAGACCCTGGTGGCCCCTCCTCTGGGAGCCTGCAAATAATGGTGCATTGTCCTGTTATTAAAAAGAATAGAAATAATGTACAAATTGCGCCCCAACAAAGGAAGAAATGCTAACTAATGTGCACAGCCGGAAACAGTAGCTGACACGCTGGAGAATTACATTGCTGTTTATGCGTCTGTCACCTGGGCTAATTATGCTCTGACTTAAGTATCTGGTGAGCCTGTAGTGCCCCGTTTACCAGGAAGCCCTGTGGTTATTACTTAGGATAAAAGCTTGTGATAAAAGGCACCCAAGACTGGAGGATCACTCTCGAGTATTCCAGGAAGGTTTGCTATTTGCGATAATGTAGGTAAGGTGCCTGGCTACGTAGTACCTGTCAAAAAGAGCCCTTTTCTTTCAACCCCTTCGACCTGCTACAGACATTAGCCAGCCCTCAGCCTCAAGCTCTGATCGCTATTCAGATTAGACCAGAGATCAAAACCGCATGACCGGAAACGGCCTTAGCTGTCATCGGGCCTGACCCCTTACATCTGGGGTTAGGTTGCCTGGTTTAGCTAAAGCACACAGCAGTCAAATCCCATTATGCTGAGCTGCACAGGACAAGCAAGCAGTGGAATTTTATTAGACAGCTAGAAATCACATTAGCCCCAGCTCTAGCAGACACAAACGTCCAAGGCGTCCTACAGTGCGTGAGCAAGAAAAAGAAACCTTTGGCCCATCCTGGAATTGGATCCTCACCCACCTTTCTCTGGGCTCCTCGCTGTTTGCATGTGCTGTAAAGTGTGTGCGATTTCTATAAATATATGTCTTTTTTTCCAATTGATGGGACTGGAGCATTTGAGATAGGCAAGCCGTAGGGATACCTGATGGCAGAATAATAGAGCGAACGCGTCAGCCCTGACTCATTCCAACTCTCTTCGCACCCTTTTGCAGAATACAGTTAGGTATATTCACTAAAGAAAGGGACTTAGATAAGAATCTATGAATGTCCACAGTCTAGCTGGGACAACCGGGTTTTGCACGGGATCCTTCTCGTGCAGTCTAAGTAACAACTGTCTCAGCCTCTCATCCTCTGCTCCTCTCCTCGCCCTCCCAACCCTTCCAGAAATCTCTGGATCAGGAGCCCTCAAAGTCTGAACAGTAGGACAGGGCAAACAGATGTACTGAACGCAAACACAATGCAACAAGATCAGATCCTACGAAGAGACTGCTGGGTAGTCTTTCCCACCATCCAGAGAAAGAATCCCGGATCCGGGAAGAGCAAGAGAAAAAGGGCAGAAAAAGTTCTCCTTTTCTTCAGAGTAACACATGCGAGCACTTTACAGAGTCTGGCGTGTCTCAGCGTTTCTGAAGTAAATTCTATTTTCTTTAGATGAAAGAGATAAAAAAAACAAAACACTAAGAATTCAGCCCAGTGAAAATTGCTTTGGCCATTCACATGCAATAAGCCGTAGAAGCAAGGAGGAAAAAAAATCAATCGCTTCTGATTTATTTATTCATTCATTCGTGCACATCCTTTTTCTCTAATGTAAAAAAGGATGTCCGCTGTGATTTTGCAAGTTAATTTTTTCAAAGGAAAAAAAAATAATCCAACCTTCCTATTGGTTGCCCAGCATCTTGGCACAGGAAATGCATATTTAATTAATTATCCTGTTGCATATAGATTATGTAAGGAAAAAGGGGGACTGATTTTGCTCATTGAATGTTTCTCCAATATCTACAATCAGGAGGCCACTGTAATACTTCTAAGTCTGGTGAATCTGGAATTGCACACTAGTTAAAGCAATGCAAGTTTTCACCTTAATAGTTGCTTTATTTCTTAATCAGGGTGGTGGGTACAGCGGTGCTCATTTTATTATTCTTCAGGCCCTTTGGCACATCTTAAATATTTCATACTAAATACTGCTAAATCCCCGAATCTTTTACAACAGATTCTATTCTGGGCTGCTCAGAGCTGAGGGTAGAGAAGGAAAGCTAGAAACGCCAAAACGTAATTGCAATAAAGAGAAGAAAATGTACGAGACCAATTTTGGAAGGATGTTTAAAGTTTTAAACCTATGCCAAATAATTGAGATCTATTCAAAGAGAATTGAATTCTATTATAAGCCCCATATACATGCAATTATTGAATTATTCTGAACACCTGTTGAGATTGGGTAATAAATTAGCCAAATGAAAATCATCGGGCACCCGGTCAAGCACATGGTTTGACCCACTCCTTCAAATTTGTGGACATAATCTCTCCTCTCATTACTGAACTGTAAACTAGAGCTTCATCCCTAACACAGAGTAGACCATGTGGTGGTGTGACTCTGTCCTTGTGATCTCCAGCGTTCTGAAGAGATGCAGTAAAAGGTCCCAGTCTTCCAACCAGGGGCTAAGGGAGCTGACTGTCTCACCCTAAAGACTGCCACAGCCCCTAAGTCCCATTTTTTTCTCATTGCCAAGCGGAACCAGTCTTGGTCTTTCCATTTTTCCACCATGACATTAAAGCCAACTGTTCTGTCCTCCTGCACATAGAGAGAGGAGAAGAAAGATTGTCCCCACTAAATCTCCGTCCTACTTCCCAGCCTCCCTAGAGCCCACGTTTGCCACCATCTCATCTCCCTGTTCTGTGTGGACAAGGTTTTACCATCCAGAATCCCCTTGCACTCTGACTGCTCAGTCCTCACCACCCGGCAAGCCTTTAAGGGGAGTAAGTGTGCCAAGATGAGATCGAGAGAAGAGGATGTAAGGAGAAGAAAGAAGGAAAGACCACTAGACACCATTTACACCCTGTCTCATCAGCCAGTGGGGAGCAGACGTTCCCTCCCCCCATTATTTCTCCCTAAAAGCAGGGCTTTTGCCTGCGTGGGGAACTGTAAAAAGAAGTAACACTACTATAAAAGCTCTAAAAAATAAGATTCTGAAATTGGACGGCTTATTTGTGTCATTTCTGAATACCGTTAGACCAACTGGTTTTACTTCCTTCCCACGACACTCACACATCCCCCACGCGAGTCTCCAGGGTGAGAGTGCCGCTCCGCCGAAGCCTGCCTTGTGCACCAGCGTGCAGGGACGCCTGCTTTACTGGCCTCACTTGGTAAGTCAAAAATCTTCCCTCTGCTCCGCCAAAGTTAACAGATGGCTGGTCCCTTTTAGTACACAGGCGTAAGCATCTTCAAAATAACCTTTTCCTTTCACGTGTGCCAATTAATTAAATGTCGCTGTAATATGTCCCAGCCGAGGGGGGAAGGGAGACGTGGGAAGACAAAGGGTCAATGGAAGAGAACAATGAGGAGAGATCACATTCTCCTACCTTCACCCGACGACCCCGACAGATCAATGATCACATACACTCTTCCTTCTGGCTCCAGATCAATCTGCAATGAAGAAAATGACAGTGGCTCAGTTAGTGCCTTGTGGGGGCAGCCCAAGAGTTCCATGACTTTTCCACCCCAAATGGCTAACACCTAGAGTCACGGCTCCGTCCAGTTCATCCCCCTGTAGTGTGCCGGGGGAACCAGGAATGCAGGAGAATGGGCGTTTATGGAATGTTCCGGATGCAGCACGAGGAGGTCTGATACAGACCCAAAAGATAGTGTCATCTCAGTGGTTCCCAACTGCAAGGAAACCTGGAATGGGGGACGCTTGACACAGGGAACCTTTTTGGGACACAAAACTATCTAGAGATGTTTTTGATTGTCATGACTGGAAAGGGAGGGCTGCCACCAGCATCTCATGGGTGGAAGCTAGAGATTCTGCTAAGCATCCTACAGCAGACAGGATGGTCCCCACAACGAAGCATTATCCAGCCCCAGAAAGCCAACAGTGTCAACGTTGAGAAACCCCGGGTTGCGCCATTCTCCCAATAAGGAAGCTGAGCTCAAAGCTGTAGGGTAAGTGGCAATGCTAAGATTCAATGATGAGACTATCTAAAGAAACCCATGTTCCTTAGACTACACAAATTGCTCACAGGGAAGGAAAGAAAAGCATACGATAACTATTCACACTCAGAAGGTGTTTACAATCTCACGGGGGAATTAAAAAACAGAGAACAATGCTGAACCCAGCTTAATGATGAGCAGCAGAGGATCACGGATCAAGTATCCGGCAATTGGAAATCAGTGTAGAAGAGCAGTCTGGGAAGACTTCATGAAGACGAGAAAGGGGAGTCAATTGAGGTGGAAGAAACAGCATATGCCCATACACCAAGGCTGGGAATGTGCACGGTGCTCGTGGGACACTGAGGGGTGCCCGCCCTCAGGTTGTGTGTTGGCACGTTTTGCAAACCCCACATCCTACCAGGGTTGTAAAGAGTGAGCCCACACCACTAAATTCTTACTATCAACCTTCTCCACCCACCCTCACCTCCCAGCCCACCTCCAAATCCAACTAGCTACTTCTATACAGAACCAGGCTGATCAGAAAAGTTGACGTTTTTGCAAGGTCTGAATTATCCTTACAGAAACTGTGTGCTCCATGAGAGAGTAGTAACTCTGGAAACCCTGGATCACCAAGTACCCCCGGTGGCCTATCCTCGCCTCCACAATTCCATCTGTCTATGCAGAGCTTTAATTGGCTCATGCATGCCAGGCTTGTCTCCCCAGCAAGCTGTGAATTTCTTGGGGGCAGGAGCCCCCACCCCTCCTTATTGTTTTCATCGTCCCCAGCAAAGAGCAGGCACTCATTCAGCAAGCAGTACTGAGAAAGGTTCAGTCTGGTGAACACCTCCTTCTCATTCAAGGTTGAGGTCACCTCCTCTCTGAAGCCGTTCCAGATATTCCCAGTCAGGATTAATTATCCCTTCGATTGTGCTTCTATGGTACACACGCATATCTGAACCCTGGCTCCTAATACACTGGAATACATTGTCCATATGTCTGTCTCGTCTGCTAGGCAGAGCCAATGAGAATCACATTTGTGTACCTAGCGCTCACTGTCTGTTAGTCAGGAGACACTCAAAAAACCTTTGGGGAGGGGAAAAGACTTTACCTTTGGAACTCTGAGAGCCTCTTCTGGGGTCAAATGCCCCCGCCAAGGCCCCATCCCCAGGAAGGCCTGTGGGCATGTGATCTGTACGAAGGTGACATTCAAATGAAGTGGGAGGGTAACAAGAGGTGGCTCTCCCAGGATCACCACATACTCCCTCTGAGGTAAAAAAAACTCCCTTGGGACTGATATTCTCCAGGTCCTTCCCCCAGCATTTCATGCCACTCACAGTCCGGGTTCCCTGAGACATTCATGAGTCCCACTTTATTTCCAGACCCGGTCTTTAGTGGTTGAGAATATTTAAGGTTTCTCTCAAAATTTTAGTTATGTCAACAAAGGTTTTCAGTGCCTCACAGGTGAGGCCCCTGGTGATATTGCAGGTAGTCTGTCAGGGCAGGGAGTGAGGGAATGCAGAGTTCTTTGGTGGAGGGGCAGAGGGAGAGGGAGGGAAGGAGGGAGGGAGAAAGAGAGACTTTTTTTTTTTGAGAGAGAGAGCATGCATGGGCACAGGGGAGGGGAGGGATAGAGGAAGAGGGAGAGAGAGAATCCTAAGCAGGCTCCATGTTCCACGGAGCCCCACACAGGGCTCGACCTCACGACCCTGAGATCATGACCTGAGTCGAAATCAAGAGTCAGTTGCTTAACCGACTGAGTCATCCAGGAGCCCCTGCAGAGAGTTCTCAGCTTGCCCCACAGGGGCCACTCACCTGAGTTGGGAATCTTGAGCTTGGGACCCAGATGGGAACCCAATAGCAAACTGGTGATGCCATGCAGCGACTCTCCCCATCCTCTCTGCCCCAAGAATCTGTGATTTTAGGTTTCTGTCTAAAGAAAATGTTCTCCAGCACCCTCACCCCTAGGAACCCCCACCCCCTCCCACTGCCACAAGCATAACCCAGCCCCCGCACTAAATTACAAACAGGAAAACCAACAGTCAGCTCCACTGAACAGAGCCAAACCAAAATCCTGTCCCTGCCACAAATATCAGGGGTCCTCTTGTCCGAGAGCATGGAATTTAAATAATGTATGCCTTTTAGAGATTAGATCATCTCTATTAAACCCTGCCGGCTAAATGAAACAATTTCTCATATCCTCCAACTCAGAGATTTCCCACGACTACGGGCTTCATTGGCAAAGTACAATGCTATCTGTGAAAAGCGGGGAGGGAGAGAGCAAAGGAATGAGCTGGGCCGGGACGCCTATTTGAAGGCAAGCGGCTTGCCTCTCTTTGCAAAAGGGGAGTGAGAACTTGTGGCAAGACAGGTCATTGACGATAAAATGTATTAGGATATTAAACGTTCAAGATAGCAATCAGAAACCATTTTAGCACCCACTGCTGCTGCAATGCCGATGAACTGCATTTCCAAACAGAAAAAGAGAAATTAAGCTTTTAAACATGCCAAAAGCAACAAAGAGCTTTGCAGCCTGGGCAGATGGCCACAGAGCGCTGGCGAGGCCCCAGCCGGCCCAGTGAGGAGACGCTGAGAATCCATGTAGGGAGGTCGGACTTCTACGCAGATGACTGGAGGGTTATCAGGTACAAAACGTGGTGGAGTGTGGTGTAACTTCATGGTCAAATTAATTGAATCTCAAATTCGGCTCACAATGACCTGGCCCGGATAAGGAAGCAATGTGGGTGCCCAGGCCTGCACAGCCCCTGCAAGCTGTCCATTGCCATCACTGTCAGGCGCCTGGCACTACATAAAAGCAGGCCTCCTCCCCCCGCCCCCCACCCCCACCCCAGCCATTCCCAGGGTTGGGTCTAAGCTCTTTCTCCTGCACTCAGGGGTCCTCCAAATTCTCCCAGATGCGACCCTGTTTTCCAAATCTCCTTGAAACTCATCCATTTACTTCATGAGTCTTCCCAGCTACAATCTCTATTATCTCTGACTATGTTTTCTTTAGACCTCTAGCACCTTTGGCTAGCGCCTCCAGCTTAGGCCAGGAGCAAGCCAGTAGAACAATGGGGAAGACAAACACAGCCTTTGGAGTCAGACCAGGGCTGAATCCCGGCTCGGGCAATCATGTACCTTCCCTGAGCTGGGGCCTCAGTCTCATCATCTGTGAAATGGGCTGTTGTAAAAATTCCATGAGACTCCCACACAAAGCTCTTGGCCCTCAGGAGATACTCGGTACGTGGTGGTGATGTGTGAACTTCCTGGCTCTGTGGCCTGAAGCAAGCGACTACCTTCTCTGAGCCTCAGAATGCTTCTCCATGAAATAGAGCGAATAACAGGCCCTGTGACGTTTGGGCTGTGGTGATGTTAAATGAGATAATCCATGTCAAGTGCTCAGCATGGTGCCCGGCACAAAATCCTCAGTAACCGCTGGTGCTATTGTTTTTAAAAAGCCAAGTCTTCAAATGTGCTACTTAGTCTGATGTTCCTTCCACTCTGTCAAGCTTTTCCCCCAACAAAAAAAGGCATTTTCTTGCCCAAAGTTGATATTATTCCATGTTATTCCAGGACGACCTTACAGAGTTGGGAATATCAAATAAAGCACTGCAGTGAGGGTTTCATGCACAGCCCTTGGGGAGCCCAGGGGCAAAGTAGGCGATAGCCCTGGTCCTCAGAGGCTCATGAGGTGCTCATGAGGAAGGAGAAGGGGAGGGTGGCCGCAGAGTGCCCAAACGCCTGCCATGCCTCACGCACCGTGCCCGGTGTTTAGTTGGCATTAGCTCATTTCATCTCCTGTGAGGCCAGCATTGTTCCCTACTTTTCGGACGGAAAAACTGGAGCTCCGAGAGCTTTAAGCCGGATTCCCACCCGGGGCTCCCTGGGTCACATGGGACAGAGGAGTCTGCCGGAGCTCTGGTGTCAAGCCCTGCCCAGCTTGGGAAGCCTTCTGGGACAATCCAGTGCCAGGCCTCCCCTTCCCGTAGGCCTCCAGCTCTCTGCGTGTTCCTGCTCCCTCTCAGGAACAACAACTGGCTCCCCAGCCAGGCCGGCTGGAGCAGGGCAATGCCTTCAGCACCTTCCCTGCCCCACCAAGAGCTCGGGGCGGGGGGGAGGGGGGGGGGGGCGCGGCCAAGGTGGCGGTGAGGAAACAAGTTCTGGGCAGAAGCAAGAGCTCTATTCATTTGAATGAGGAACAAGGCAATGGGGAACGAGGCCAAACCATAGAGAAACCCATGAAAAAGGCCCGCTCTGAAAAGCACAAAGTATCACAGGCACTCCTTGGGGTGGTGCCCGACTTCACAAACCCTTCACACACATCATTTCACGTGGTCCTCACAATTCCTTGGAGAGTAAGTATGATGCGCACCACTGCATGTGTGAGAAAGCTGAGGCTAAGGAAGGTAAGTGGCCAGTACAGCATGCCTAGGGAGAACACAGGGGCGCCGTTCACAGGGGAGCCTCTGCGAAATGAGTGCCCTAGAGCTGGACAGCCT